TGTAGCGCTATGGGGCGGTATATAAGTCCAATAAATAAATAAATAAATAAATAAATTATAATTGCTATTATGACTATGTGACAGTTTCATCAATACACACAGCACTTTTCAAAGTAGCATAAAAATGACAAGTCTCCACTTTGACGAAATGACAGTTAGTTTTCAAAAGCAGAAGTGAGAACCACTTCTGCTTTTGAAGGAAGGAAAATAAAGACTAGTTTACCAATAGGGATGATGATGATGATGATGAATTTAAATATGGAAGCAACCACCTGAATATGGATCTAGATAAAACTGGATATCCAGAAAAGTTTTAAAAATTTGTGTTTGTTTTTTAGGTGGGAACACTGCCCCACTGAAAATGCCTACAGGCTTACACCAGAGACAGTTTGCTGGCACTTTATTGCCCATTTACCAAATGCTACACCTATTTTCCTTTCTTCAAAAGCAGTAGAGGTTCTCACTTCTGCTTTTGAAACAAATTGCCATTTCCTCAAAGCAGAGACCTGTCTTTTTTGCTACTCTGAAAAGTACCATGTGCGTTGATGAAAATGCCACATAATAATGACAGCAATGATAATAATATATTGGGATAAGGCTATACTAAATTCAGGAAAAAGAAATCCACCAGAAGTTCAGATTTTGACAGGAGGCATGCATTCTGATCTGAGTGGAGTTGGGCCGTTTTCCCAACTGGCAATTCGTCTTTTGTGATGAGCAGGCATCACCAACCAGTATTGTATATATTAGGGCAGAGTATGTGGGAATGCTGATTTAAAAAGAAAAACACATACAAAAGCCTTCCATGCAGCGGTCCATGCAGAGGCTCACAGAGCATATTAATATTTTTATATTACAAGTCTCCCTCAATCACACCACAGTTAGTTTTTAGTAAGATTTACCTCACACATTAGTTCAACTGTCATGCAATCTCAATATAAATAGTTAGTGTCACACACACCCAGTTCCCATATTTGTTTTTTTTACACACCCAGGTTCCCTTTTGGGCACAACATTTTCACTTTCACTCTTTTTTGCTGCCACCAGAGGATATGTTCCTCTCTGTATCAAATATGACTATTAGATCAGTGTTGTCCAATATAACAATGTTTATTTATGGGTTTGTAGGTAAATCATATAAAGAAAATCATGGATGGTCTTTCATTATTCATTCAATAAACATTGCTTTGATTACATTTATGTTTGCTTATGTAGATTCACTTTAATCAAGGTATTTATATATTCTACTATTTATTTCTTAGCACTTTGAACTCTTTCCAATCTTAACCACATAAACTTTCCAAGACTTCTCCTACTCCTATCTCTTTCTCTGTCTCTCTATTACTCTTCTTTCTAACACAATCACGGCCCTAACTTTCCCCTTTTTTTTTCCTGGTTCCACCCCTCCTGTCATGTCATTGGCTCCCACATCAGCTCTGACCTGACTGACAGGAGTGTTCTGAGAGATGTCTGTCACAGTCAGAAATTCTGGTTTAGGAAGAATATTTTTAAAAGTTTTCTTATAAAAGGTGAGCATTCAAACAAAACATGTTAACTGGTTACATTATGGTATCTTGCTAGCTTCGTTAGTTTGGTTCACGAAGCTTACTGATTACATATGTATATATAATGACATTAATTAACATTGCTGAACACTAATATACTCTAACACTGCTAAATGGACACTCACTGACTCATTTCTAGAAGTGACACACACAACACTGGCCTTGCTTATTGCTTATACTAACACTGAACACTGACAGATCCTGACTGAGGTAAAAAGATGGAAAATAGAAGCTGAGGTACAGAGGGAATCAATTGGTTACTCTAAGTCACATGTGTCAAACTCAAGGCCCACGGGCCGAATCTGGCCCACCAGGCCATTTCTTGTGGCCCCCGCAGTGTTGCCTACTACTGTGCAGTAGAAAACACACAGGTCCTTACTCAGTCACCCATAATGTTCCAAAAGGATGCTAGGAATCTGCCCAGTGGGACTTCTAATCCCAGCATTCCAAGCAGCAAAGAGTCAGAAAGTGTAGCCCCTTGGGCGGCATACAGCACCTTGGGAATGTAGTCCTCAGTGTTGCCTGTTCCTGTTCCGCTTGCCCTTATTTCTAGACTTTGATCATAGACTTTTACCTTCAGAACTAGTTATTATGTATGTTATTACTAAAACCAGTAGGTACATTTATATAGTCTTACAGATACAACTGGCTCTTTAAGGGCAACCATAATGCAAATGCGGCCCAAGATAAAAATTGAGCATGACACCTCTGCTCTAAGTGATTGACATTCACTCAAAGTCCCTCCCATTAAAACCTCATAAAGCCACAATATGCTGCTTGCTCATCCAACACCTCTTCTCAACCTGCATATGGAACCATCCGCAAGATCAATCTTGATACACAAGTCCATAAATCAGTCCCTTGGAAGAGGCTTGGTTAAGGTGTCTTCCCTTATCTCTGCTGTGGGGCAGTAGACCAGCTTGCTGATGCCCTTCTCAGTCGGGTTTCACATCCATTGTTATCTTGTGCTGATGTGTTTTGGTGCGCACATTCATTCTCTTGCTCTGGGACAGTCCAATGCAGCTTTGGTTGTTCTCTTTGGGTTGGTTTCTCTTGCTGGATTCCAAAGTCATCTAACAACAAGAAAAGACAAACAAGACCATAAAGCAGCTTCCACAACAAATTTATTTTGGTGTGGATTAACATTCACCCTGTCAGACACAAGGATTACAATGTGTGGGTGACAGGCTTATGCACTGTGTACATGGTGAGAGCACTGGAGTGGGATGAAGTGGACTAGAAAACAGAAAATAATGGCATTGTTCACATAAGTTATGAACTTTTGAGATTCACCATAAATGTCCTGGTACTTCTGGCAACAAACAGATGCAAATGACATTTTATAAGAGTTTTCAGAGGCTAGTAGGTTGTGTTGAGGTCAAGATTTTGCCAACATCTACTTGGTTATACATATGACTATAGTGACAGACTGTTTATTAATATATAAAGTGAGCTCAAAAGGCCTGATATCTATATTATCCTCTAGGTACACACCAGAATTTATGAATGTTGTCCTCTTCAACTATCTCTCTCAAATCTCCCTTTGTAATTCCCTTTTTCTATAGTAGTGAATTTGAGATCAATGACAAAATGTTCAGAGAGTTGAAATGTTCTGATTCTGGCTTCTTTGTCTTAAGCGCTACAAGCACTCTCTGGGCGGTTTACAATTTAATTATACAGGCTACACATTGCCCCCCCAGCAAGCTGGGTACTCATTTTACCGACCTCGGAAGGATGGAAGGCTGAGTCAACCTTGAGCCGGCTACCTGGGATTTGAACCCCAGGTCGTGAGCACAGTTTTAGCTGCAGTACAGCGTTTTAACCACTGCGCCACGAGGCAGTGGTTCTGATTCTGGCTTCTTTGTCTTACCTTTTATAAAGTCAGATTTGTGTCTGTCTCTTGCACACAGACTGTCCTCTTTGCCTTTTGCAGAGGGCACTGCTGGCAGAGGGTAGCATACATCACAGAAAAGAAACAGGTAAATTATGTTGGGGGGCACTGTTGGGACCTATAAGAATGCTGCCACAACTCATATGGAGATTGTCTTCAGAAAAAGCAAGTATATCATGCTTTTTGTTATTTTTCATATACTTTTAGACAAGGACTGATTTGTGAGTGCTGAGAGAGAAGATGTAGGGTTCCTCTTTATTAGGTCAATGGTTCATGTTTTGTTATGTAATTGTTCATGCATATTCATGTTGCTGAGAAGCAGAGGTGACAGAGATGTTATAAGACAGTGGTCCCCAACCTTGGGCCTCCAGAAGGCTACAGTTTCCAGAAGCCTTCACCACCACCTCTGCTGGCCAGGATTTCTGGGAGTTGAAGTCCAAGAACATCTGGAAGCCCAAGGTTGGGGGCCACTGCTATAAGAGGCAGAGTCAGAAAGGTCAGAGAGAGTTGGAGTGGCGTGGGTGAGAGAGAAGTAGTTAGAGTGTGGAGTTTGGGGAATTCTGAGGTGTGATTAGAGTTAGGAGTGTATTATCAAATAGAAGGTTGTTGTTAATAGCATAGGCATCCTTCAGTCTCGAGAGACCATGGTAACATGCTCTGAATCAAGGAGTGTCCTCTCCAGAGCATGAAGCCTGGGTAAAGTAATATGGAGGATAGGCTGTTACCCAAGCAGCAGATCCCCCCTCTCCACGTTGCTGAAATGTTCCAATGGAAAGGCAAGAGCCCATACAACTGGTTCCAGCAACGTCGCAGGAGTTGGCAGAACAACACGAAATGCCTTCGGGACTCCAGCTCCGGATTTTGCCTCTAGGTTAACTCCTGAAGCCTTTTCCATCAGTGGATATAGCGACAAGGCAGTGAAGGTTTGAAATCGGAGTTTTCCTTCTCCTAGATGGGCTGCCTTGTTAATAATACATTTACATAAAGAAGATATCTATGAATCACTATCAATAACTGTAATCAATAAACAAAGTTACTGTATATTTAAAAGACTTAGAAGTGTGGACCTGAGTCTTCATCTTCCCTGATTTAGTGATCACCTGCTGACAGCAGTGTAAAAGAGGGGATTGTTTGCCTTCCTGTGCTCTTGAGTCTTGAGGGTCAAGCAAGGGGCACGAGGGTGGACGCCACATAAGTCTTGAAATCGCAAAAGGTCGGCAGAACAAAGAGCGCATGCGCAATTTATTTTTACTTTTTATTTTAAAAGCGCCCTCTCTTCTCCGAAGCCTGGGAATCCCACCATCAACCCCTTTCCCACAGGAAGCCCTTCTGCGTTTGCGCAAAGCCTTCCAGCGTTTCCTTGGCCCTTTAAGGACTCTGGAAGGGGGTGGAGCTAATTTGCAAACGTGGCGTCGGCGCCTCTAAATCACTCGGCCCGGCGCTTGGGCCTGTCAGGGCGGAAATCGGCGAAGGTGTCGTTCGGGAGGGGCCTCTGACATGACGGTCACCTGGGCAAAGACAGGTATTTCCCGTCGGGCTCCTCCGTCTCTTCCTCCCCCCATCTGTGAGGGCCAAAACCCGAGCGTTGCTGTGTTTGTGGGGTCGGAGAGCGACCCCCCAGAAGCCCTGGTCCTGGCCGTTCGCTGGCAGGTTGCGCGCCTGAGGCGGTTCATTGGAGTCCGCTTTTAAATCCGATGCCAGGCCGGGGTAGAAGAAGACGGAGCGGCGGGAGGGCCGAGGGTCGCCCCCCAAGCCGGGCTCGGCGCTGGGCTGTTCTGAGGGCGGGGAGCGAGGGCAGGGCTTCCTTCTCTCGGGAGCCGGCGGTGGCTCTAGCCGTTTGTTGTCTTGTAGCCGTGAGGATCCGAGCTCGGACCTGGGAAGGGAAGGAGGTTGTTGATGGCGAGCCTGTGAGCAAGCTCTGCCCAATGGCCGAAGCCCGTGGGTTGAGTTCTCCCTCCAGAGCCCCAACACCTCTTGGCTTGCCGGACTGGTTTTTTCCCCCCGGCTTCTCTTCTCTGGTTTTTAACGCGTGGCTTCAGCAGGTGCGCTCTCTCTCTTTCTCTCTCACCCACCCTCATCGCAGTGGCGAGGAGTGCTTCTTCCCCGCAGACTCTTCTGTGAAAGGCAGAAACAAATTCTTCAATAAAAAGCCTCCAGGTTGTGTTGGGTATACACGTGGACGGGGAGCCGCTTCACGCGCTTTTGCAGGCTGCCCTTCTCTTCTTCAGATGTCCCTGTACTTGCTCAGACCTAGATCCTGAAGAAATGGGCGAAAGTTTATACCAAATAGAATTTGTCAGTCTTTTGGATACCACAAGATTCCTTTTTTTTTCCTGGCACAAGCTAATGTAACTGCTCTGCTGTTAAAGGTAGAGGGAGGAATCTTGCCAAACAGAAAGTTGACCATCATTGGTGATTGTCTGCCCTTTTCAGTTTATTGGTGAAACGTAATATGACAGTAGTGTAATTTGAGCTCAGATTTCATAGGCTAAAACCCTGCTTCTCTTTCTCAGATTAGGAGGATATAGAAGAGTTTAAAGCACATGTGACAAACTCAAGCCCCCCCCCTCCCGGCTGAATCTGGCCCATCAGGCCATTTCATGTGGTCCTTGCCCTGTTGCCTGCTACTGTGCAGTATACAATGCACAGGCATTTACCTGGTCAATCATAATGGTCTAGAAGGATGCTGGGAATCCACCCAGCGAGACTTCTAATCCCAGCATTTCAAGTAGCAAAGAGTTAGAAAGTGCAACCGCTTGGGAAGCATACAGCACATTGGGAAATGTAGTCCTCGCTATTGCTCATTCCTGTTCTTACATTTATGTTGTCTTACAGATACAACTGGCCCTTTGAGGGCAACCATAATGCTGATGCGGCCCAAGATGAAATTGAGTTTGACACCTCTGGTTTAAGGGAATTGCTTAGTCCCAGTAGGGATGTATGATATCGGCTTTTTGTCACTATGTCTGACTATGTATCCATTTCCTGTTGATGGTTATTGGTGAAGGGCAGAGTGAAAGGGTTATGATGCCTGCTCTGTCCTTTAATTAGAAATCAATTGACTTCTTTATGAAGTCTCTAGCATACAAATCTACCAGAAAATCCCAACACTCTTGCTTCTAACTTGGCTTTCATTTTGCTTACAGTTCCAGTAGTTTCACTCTTTATTCCCACTTTTCCTTCTGAAGTGTAACAGAAGCCGCCCAGAGTAGTCTATTGACTAGATGGGTGGGGTACAAATACAATAAATACAATAATAATAAATAAATAATAACAGAGAACAGATGAAGGCTTTCTAAACTGATTTAGCATTTGTTGATTTTTTAAAAATTGTAAGTTTTTTTTTTAAAATACAGTAATATATAGGAGACAAAGCCAAAGGCATGCTTAATCATATTAGTCATGGGTATTGTATGTAAATTAGTACTCAGTCTGGAATTGTGCGTTTCTAAACATTTACCCAATTTTTTTCTCCTTATTGTTAGAGCTCTCCTGACAGGATGGCAGGTAAAAGCCAGAATTTCAGTTTCCAGCTCCCAGCTGTAGTGCAGCCTACATTGGATGGTCACCTATATCCTTTTGGGAATGGCATAAGTTCTGACAGTGATGTGTTGGAAGATGAAGTGGAGTTGCATGAACTGCGACCCCGGGGAAGGGAGAAAGTCAGAAGAAGTACATCAAGGGAGAGAGTGGATGATGTCGTATTTATAACCAAGGATATACAAGAAGGAGACACGTTAAATGCTATAGCTCTTCAGTATTGTTGTACAGTAAGTTTGTATGCAGCTCCATCTGATGAAGTTCATATCAATTCAGAAGTATTTGTGTTTATAAAAACAAAGTTTTTTTATGCTGACCTACAAACAGCTTGGAGTGTTATTTGCCAGAACCCACTATATATAATCATTTGCCAAACTGAGAATATGCAGAAAAGCAACTGGAAAGTCTTTGCCTAAGTTTTAATTATATTAGGTTGTTCCAAAAATGTAATTCACCAAAGGGAGTAAAAGTCTCTTATATAGTATATGATGAAATAAGAACTTAGTACAAATGCACATATGTGTGTATGAACTGACTTATCTCTGGGAACCACAAGAATCAATTTGTTGTTAACTTGGATAAACTGTTATTTGGGAAGTTACAGAAGCCAAAAGTCTGTTGCTTAATGTAGTAAATTGCACTAGAGTAGACTCATTTAATCAATTGGGGTTTGGTGAGTCAATTCTTCTGTAGATTCCACTGACTAAATTGGCCTACTTTTACTGTGACTTAATCCTGTTTTGTGAGTGAAGCCCTTTGTGAGCGCTATTGATTCAAACAGGTCTACTCTAACCATGACTTATTTCAGCATAGTAAGTAGCAATGAGAACAGGCCCATTTAAATTGGTGGCTCACCAAATCCCCACTGTTTCAAGGGGGCTATTCTAGTGTGATTTACTATGCTAAGCAACAGGATTTTGGCTAGGATCTTGTGGGATCCCAAACTTGACATGTACCAACAGAGGTAACACTATGCATCTGAAGAAATTCCTTATTTTGTTGATTTGGGCAGTTACATGACACTTGATGAAAACTTTTAAAGTCCTGCAAACAGAATGGATTTGATTTAAATCACAATTTAGATAAAAATTAGATTTTTTTGAAGATTTAAATAAAAATTATATCTTAAAATTTAAACTATGATTTTAATAGTCATTTAAATCAATTTGATTTATAAAATTCATTGATTGTTATCCCCTGCCTGCAAAATTCCTCACCTTGACACAAAAAAGTTACTTTTTTTGGTCAAGGTTTCTGTACAATATCTGTTTCAGTTTGTGTAGAGATCTGTTACTCTTTCCTCTTAAGATGCAAAGTGTATGCTTATACCAGCATATACACACAGAGAGACCAAGTGCAGAAGGACTGGCTGTTTTGGTTTTTAAAGATGCAGATCACACATCCAATGCTTCTGATTCTTAACAGGCAGAAATGATTCTGGTTTTCAGTCAAGTAAAAGTTATCAAGTTTAAATTACCAAAATATCTTGCCCTCTAGCAGGGCAACAAGAGAATTTTTGCATTTTCAAATATGAACTAAATAGATGGAGATAGGACTTGTTAGGAATACTAACAATGTATATCTCAATATATTTACTATGGACATTGGCTGTTCATATAAATTTATAGTGCTAGCACACCAGTAGTGCTTTTAAATATGATTGGGTGAATGTGGAACGCTACATAAATTTAAGTGACTGCATTTTATGATCTTCGTGTACTAAGTAGTCAGTTGTGTTAATTTTAGAGTCTAAAGCTGGCTCTTCCTCCCACAGCAATGGAGTAAAGAAGCACTCACTTAACCCTTGCTCTTTTTTCTACAAAGAAGGAAGAGCTCCAGAAAAGCTTTTTGGCCTGAGGAATCAGCTTGACTTTATACAACCTGAATTCTCGCTGCTGCTCGGGGGGGCTCATTTTTCTTTCAGTAAAGTGATTGATTCTCAAATAACATATATGTCCTATTCCTCTTCTGAAAGGTAAAATAACTGTAATGTAAGCTAGTCAGTAAGTGCACAAGATAAATTCTTCCCTCCAGCAAGAAGTTATTCCTAATTCATATGATTCAGATAATCTATTTTTCCTTTCAAGGTGAACAGGAATGTCAAGGAGGAGACTCTAGCCCAGTCCCATGTCTGCTAGAAATCTAAAGGTTTCCCTTACACAACTGAAGCTGGTCTTGCTTATTGAGCAGTAGTAACATGTATCAATATTGCTATTTAAATGTATACTGTGTAAAAGTCTGAATATAACTTGAAATTGTTGGTGGATTTAATAAACCTAATTCACTTCATTATAACTGTATTTCAGGTAGCAGATATCAAAAGAGTGAACAATCTTATTACAGATCAGGACTTCTTTGCCTTGAGAGCTATTAAAATTCCAGTGAAGAAGTTCAGTGTATTGACTGAGACACACTGCTTTCCCAAAGGCAGGCAAATTTCAAGAGCTGCTTCTGCGTCATACTCTGCAGAATTTCAGGATGCATCCCCAGCTGCTGAATCATTTTCTTCCACTGAGACTGTAGGTAACTTCTTGAAAGAAGTAGACCGTGATATAGAACAAATAGTGAAATGCAATGCCACAAAAAGAGAGAATCTTAATGAAGTTGTTTCTGCCTTATCAACCCAGCAATTGAACTTTGAACCAGATGGTAAAGCCATCAAGCGTAAAGATCCTTATTATGGAGCAGACTGGGGAATAGGTTGGTGGACAGCAGTCGTAATAATGGTCGTGGTTGGCATAATAACACCTGTTTTTTATCTTTTATACTATGAAGTTTTAGTTAAAGTGGATGTTAGTCACCATTCTACAGTGGAATATTTATCGGTTACATCACCATCTGAACCAAAACCATTAGAGGGAATGAATCAGAACATTTCATGAAAATTGAAGTTTTGCCTTTTACATGCTGAAGATTTGGGAGTTCAATCAACACACCATGTGAAGAGAGAAGAGTAACAGGTCCTGTATGGAACTGGAAAGTAGCTTTCATTATCATGGTAATAAATAACAGGGCACGTTTACTATCTTGCTGTGTGTATGGAAGAATACTTGGCAGGCATATTGTTAAGTTCAGTATGTTGACAAATTAAATGCAGATTGCTTGAATTTACTAGAGTATATCTAAGCTTCTGCTCTCCATAAAAGTAAAAATGAAAGAACCTTAAATGTGAACTTTGAAAAACCTTTCATAATGTTTGCTGAAAAATGAATCTAATCATGTCCAATTGTCAATGTGCAAGTCCTTTGTATTTTAAAAGAACAAGCCATTCTCTTCCATCCTGGTAAGACAAGAATTAGAAACGGGTCATATCAGATCTGTTAATCACAATAGTCTTCTCTGAGATGACGCAGGGGCATGTGACCAAATGTAACAATGGTTTAACACTATTCCTTTCCACCCATTTTATTAAAGAGATTTGAAGAGAGGAAAACTTTGAGCAGAAGGAAAAGGGAATGCTCAAGTCATTTCTCAAGGATAACTTCCCTGTTCCAAAAGCTGCTTTCCTTTCCCCCACTACTGCTCTCGCTTTTTCTGTGGTTGTTTCTGTATACAGTATTCATTTTGGAACAGAATAGAGGTAGATTTTTCTTCCTTATCTCTTACTTTGAAAATAGTGAGGCATCACAACTCCAGGGTTTACATTATGATGCATAGCTGGTACCCTGTTTCCCTGAAAATAAGACCTAACCTAAAAATAAGCCCTAGTGTGATTTTTCAGGATGCTCGTAATATAAGCCCTACCCCAAAAATAAGCCCCAGTTAAGTGAAACCCCGCCCTCCACCACTGTGCAGCATTGTGCAGCAACCAGAAGATGACATGACTGTATTTGAATAAATGTAGATTGTTGTACATAGAAATAAAATAAAACATCCCCTGAAAATAACCCCTAATGCATTTTTGGAGCAAAAATTAATATAAAACCCTGTCTTATTTTTGGGAAAACACGGTAGTTAGCTCTGTAGGTGATCTGCCATGTAAATTGGAATCTTGGCATTTTAGAGAGTATAATTTTCCTTTTCCACGAACACTGTACTTTTATTCAAGCAAATTTCACTACTATAGAACTGATTATAGAATTGCTGCTTTAAAAGAACAATAATTGGAGTTATCTGTCAACTGTAACATTGACCTTACTGCCGGACGTGGGGACTCATGTCTCTACCTGGGGAACTGCAGCACAGCCTTGGCATCTAAATTTGTAGTCATTCTACCATTGGCATTTTATATAGCTGTAGAAGAGCTAAATTATTTTGAGAGCTATGGTGCAGTTCAATTTTATTACTATAAGAGCAGTGAAATCTATTTGCATTAAAATTGTGAAAGTTAAGCTGATGTTGTTTGCTACTTTGTTAAACTTACCATATTTGCAATATAAAATTAGGGGGTTTTGCATTTTTTTAGTCTTGTAAAACTTTGCACTTAGCAACTCAACATTTTTTATGCCAACTTTTCATTTGACAAGGTAGTCCTACACAGGAGGGGCAGGATCTGTTCTCGATCATCCCAGAGTGCCAGACACATAATAATGGGTGCAAGTTACAAGGAGCCAGATTTTGGCTGGATATCAAGAAAAAATGTCTTAACTGTTAGAGCAGTATGACAGTGGAATCAATTACCTTGGGAGGTAGTGAGTATTCCAATGCTGGAGGCAGTCAAGAGAAAATTGGACAACCATCTGTCAAATGTACATTGGATTCTTATATTGAACAAAAGATTGAACTCAATGGTCTTATAGTTGGACACCTGGACACATGGGTAGCAGATGCAGCTGATTTCATTTTGCAGACATCTGTCCCTTAAATTGTTTGAATTTCCTACAAGGATGTCCTCTTTCTATCTCAAGGCAAGTGCTTGCTAAATTGTGAAACAGTGATGGCGGGTTGTTGATTTTTTTTTAAACATACTGGCTTGCAAAGTAGTTGAAATTACTTGATTTGGATGATGCATGCTTTCCTGTAATAACTACCTGAGTAGGGAAATTTGAGAAACAGATCTGTGCCCGTTTTGTGAGCACAGATTTGTTTCTCTTCTCCTAAGTTGCACGTACTCTCATATTGTATTAGTTGTCCCCCCTCCCCCGCNNGAAGCGGATTCCACTTGCATGATATATAGTGCTGAAATGTGCATCATGCAGAGTAAAATCTTCAGCTGAGTGAAATTGTGAACCAGATGTCTTCTACTTGTATATGTAACAGAAGATAACTATGCTGGTCCTGAGCAAAAAACACAAACTTTTATTTGATAATACTTTCACTAGGACCAACCAGAATGCCATAAGCTTTTGGGTTCTTCAGAACTCTTTATCAGGCTGGGTGCTATTAAAAAGCAGCAAAGGGGGCAAGAAACAAAGCCTATCCCTTATAATAATAAAGGTCCTAAACAATCTATCTAAAAGTATGGTTTTCAACTGTCCCAGTAATTGCTGCATACTTAAGGGATATTTAACTTTGCTGCTGCGTGTAGGAAAGAAAAAAGATTAGTGTAAATACGTCCTTTTGAGAAGAAAAGTACTTCTGTCTTAGAAGTTGGATGAGTCGCTGCTTTGGGGCTATTCAGGTATAGAATGTAATAGTTGCTACAGCTTCTAGCTCAAGAAAGGATAGTTGAGGACAAAGAGGTCAAAGCTTGAGGGAAAAATGGTTTTGGACTACTGCTGCCAGAATTTGTCATTCACTATGTCAATACTCCAGAAATCAACTTTTCAAAACTCTTAGCTGGATGCACACTAGCATCAATATCCACTCTCTAAATGAGTGCTTTCAACAGAATGGTCAGTCCAGTGCTTACCTGGTCACGTTGTGGCATATCTAGTCTACCAAGTATTATGATGGGATCTAGATCTGATCTAGCCCCCAAAGTATTATTTTTTTCCTCAAGATCTGTCTCTTAAGTTAATGGAATACCATATTCTAGTTAGCCACTGTGCTCATAATTGTTCTTTCACTTGATGGATGAGCAGCTTGTCAAGCAAAGGTGGAAGAACTTTTAAAACAAGAAAAGTTACATACCTAGCTAAATTATATAGTTTAAAAACTTGTATATTGCCTTTTGAGATGAAACTTGCAGGGCAATGTACAAGAAATGTTATAAAGTTTGAGTTGATCTTAAGAAACAAAGACTGTACATTTGGCATAACACAGCTTTGTTGTTTTTCTGGTGATAATGTAAACAGATATTTTAAATGTGTGTGCAAAAGCAAAATTATCACAGTGACTGCAATCCCATTGGCATAACTTTATATTGTGCACTTAGGATGGTGTCATATTTAATTTAATTTTGCTTGAAAGCTTCCTCTCTCCTTCATGTTCCAAGGCTCTCTAGAGCTCCATTTATGAACTTTTGGGAAACTTATATGACGGAGTAGCTTTTAGTAGCCCCAAATTGCCACCGTTGGCTGCTCTGCAAGATCAGGACCACCACCACTGATCCAGTGGTGATTTTTGGCTATTAAAGTCCCCCCCCCAATCCAGAGACTCCCTCTTTCCCAGGTCAAAAGAGAGCACCAAGAAATCTCAAAACCTGATGGAGTGGGGTGTTATGAAGCTTTTGATTAAATTAAATATTACTGTTGCTGGCTGATAACATTGTCCTTATTATTCAGTGCAAATTTATAGCACGGGGATTTTGGCCAATGACTGAATATGATGTACCAAAACACAAACTTGGGCTTTGTCTTGGCTCAGGGATCTGTGCCTTATGTCCATAATTTAACAATGCAAATTCATTGTATTTTGTGAAAAGATTAATACTACATTCATGAAATGGAAGGTGTCTGCTGGATTATTACTCTCAAACAATTGTTTATTAAATACATTGAAATATTTTCTGTATACAAATAGAATATACAGTGGGATTAAGAATCTGAAAGCTGGTTTCTCTTCATGTGTGTTGTTGCTGTATGTATTGCTCTTTTCCAAAGTATTTTGTGATATACCTGAAGATACTCTCATCATGTGGTAAATTTATGGCTTGGATATGGTACAAAAATTAACCTAAAGTTATAGAAGAATTGGGAACATCTTTTTTCAATTGCACATTCTAGTAGATCTTGATGACATTTACATACCTCCCATCTTAATCTTATGCCCATCTCTGATTTATTCTAATAGCACTTTTTGATTACATAAGGGTGCTTAAGGAAGCAAACTTGGGCTAAATCTAATTTTTGGCCCAATTAGGGTAGACCCAATGAAGTCAATGAGACTCGTGTTAGCATTGGCTAACACATACTTTTTATTCAATAAGTCTGTTGCAGCTAGGACTGAATATGGATTTAGCCTTTTAATATTAAGAAAATTTAAAACTGGGAAATATACAGAGCATACGAGATTTCTGAAGATAATATGGCTGAACAATCAGTAAGCTCTTAAGTCTGTCTGCTAAGCCATAAGAAAAAAAGAGTACTTTTATCTGAGCATTCTTCAGAATACTGCCATGAATTTTCATTTCCTAAATACCTCTTCTATAGTTTTCAGAATTTATAAAATACAGTGGTGCCTGGCTTAGCGATGTTAATTCGTTCCAAAAAATCGCTGCTAAGCGATTTCATCGCTAAGCGAAACGCGGTTCCCCAATTTAAATGCATTGAAACCTATTCAGTGCATCTCAATGGGGGAAAAATACAACAATAAATTAAAAAAAGAGTCAGAACAAAGTCAAATTTGGTTAACAGGGTTTATTAAGTGCACTTTATGATTTCAAACATTTTAAACAGTAAACTTTAACTTTATAACAGAAAAACATTTAAAAAACAGCAGACATGAGGCAGGAATATTGGATCGTACAAAACTTCATAAAGTGCAGAAACATACAGAAACTCTTCATAAAGTGCAGAAACATACAGAAAATTTTCAGGAACTGCATAAACATACAGAAACCAACAGTACAGAAACTTTTTAGATTTAACATTTTTAAACTGAACAAGTGAGGCTGAAGTCTAAACCACCAGGACCAGTGTTAAATGCAGGAACCTGGAGGCACACAAAATTGTCCCCACATCACAGCAAGCAGCAGTTTTCTAGGAGGACGAGGGGGAGGAAGAAGGTAACTGGGCACCACTGGTGGAAGGAGAAGGTTCCTCTTCCTGTCTTGGCCTCTTCGTGA